GGGTGGAGGAAGGCAAGACCTCGAGTGGGAAGGAGGAGAGCCGGCTAGGTAGGCACCCTGAGTATGTATTCACTTTAACTTTGGTTTGCCTGCCTGAGAAGATGGCAGAAGGCTGGGAGCAAAGAGGACTATGGGAAGAGGCCCCTCCTGTAGGGGTGAGTGAGGAGGATGATGAAGGCCAGAGAGTTCTTAGTGGTTGGGATAGTGGCAGCCAGGAAACAAAGCCACCCTTTTACCCCACATGGCCATGTTTGTTCCTCCCGTGCCATCTGGGGGCACAGGGGCCACACAGCCCTCCTTGTCCTCCTCCTATCAGAAGAAAGTCAAACTCTAGTGAGCTGTCCAGAGGCCCCTAACCTCCACTGTGGATCCATGAGGGTGTCTGTCTAGGAACCATGTCCCAGAGCTCTGTGAACTGTTCAGTGGATTCAGTTGAGGCCAGTGTGGTGTCAGCCTGACCAGTCATCACTGTCGCTATTTCTCTGCCTGTTTCCTGCTCCAGCTTGGACTTGCCGGCATCACGTCTTTTTAATTGTATTGTTCTATCGTGTGACATATGAAGGGCACACTTGTGGAAGACAACTCTGCAGAGTGAGCATTGCTAAAATTCCTCCCTAGAGGAAGGCATAAACAGTATCAACCCATTCTCCCATCAACAAGCCAAGGTGCTACTCCACCACAGTCCCCTTGGGGGATCCAGTGATTTTATGGGACTTCCTTACGGAACATAAGTGAGGGTTTACTTACAGAAATGTTGGTGTTCACTCACAAAGGCTACACTGTGAGGTCTACCCAGCAGGGATTATGGCTTCCCCAGGGCTTCATGGCTGGAGTCCACCCTCCCCCCTCCCCCCCCCGGTCCCTATCCCTCCCCCCCCCCACCTATAGCCTCTAGCCTCTCCCCTACAAGACTGAAGCCACATGCTATTAGAGCAGAACTTCATACTGCTTGTTGGGAGTGGCTACTCAGGCAAGGAGAGTTCTGTGATTCTCTTTGTCTCCTTCCAGGAGGAAAAGTAAACAGTCAGCAGCCCAGTTGAGGTGATCGTTTATAAACTGGTCTCGCAGAATTCCTATGAGCTAGAAAGATGACATCACTTAGCAGCACTTGCTCCTCTTGTTGAGGACCTGGGTTTGGTTCCCAGCACCCATGTGGTAGCTCACAACCAACTGTAACGTCCTTTTCAAGGATCGAGCGCCCTCTTCTGACCTCCATTGGCACCGCACATATGTGACACATTAACATACATGCCAGGCATGGCGGCATATGCCTTTAATCCCAGCACTTGGGAGGCAGAGGCAGGCGGATCTCTGAGTTTGAGGCCAGCCTGGTCTATATAGCAAGTTCCAGGACAGCCTAGGCTACCCTAGGAGAAACCCTCCTCTCAAAAAACCACCATCGCTAATAACAATAATTTAAAAGACATCCTCAGTTTGGCTCAGAGGATAGCCCTGTAAAACCACTGGTTCTTTCTTTCCATGGTTATGTGGGTTCTGGGGACCAAACTCAAGTCCTCAGACTTAAGTGATGTGATGATTAATTTTAATTATCAACTTTTCACAGTCTGCAATCATGTATAAAGTCTCAGTGAAGGACTGCCTTGATCAGGATGACTTGTGGGCTTAGCTGTGAGGAGTTGTCTTGATTAATGGTGAGCTGGAAAAACTTACCAACTGTGGGCGGCACCATCCCCTAGGCAGAGGCTCCTGAACTGCAGAAATGGAGGGAGGGAGCTGAGCACAAAGAGGCATGGAGGTATTTATTCTCTCTGCTCTTGACTAGATATGATGTGACTGCTTCAAGTTTCTGGCTTGACTTCTCTGCTATGATGAACTATAATCTGGAATTTACTGAAATAAACCCTTTCTCCCATAAATTGCTTTTTCTCAGGGTATTTCATCACAGCAACAGAAATGAAACTAAGACAAACATCTGCCTGTAGAGTCACTTCACTAGGCCTCTGCTCTACACATTTGCTGAGGTCGTGGCTTGCCCTGGTTGCGACCCCCTCTCAGAGATCTGGAAAGTGCCACTACTCTCTGTTCTACCCCCAGAACCAGTGTCTTCACCCAGCTCTTTCTCCCACAGGCTATGGAGGGTTCAGAGCCAGGGTGGGCAAGGTAGAGGGCAGACTAGGATGTATGAGGCTTTATGGGGGTCATCAGAGCTGGCTGTGGCCAGGGGTTGTTCTGTGATGGCCGCACATGGCCGGCCTTGTTTTCATCTTCTTTACTTTCACAGGTAAACATACGGTTAAAAGTAGTAAACATTGGACTGGAGGGAAGGCTCAGTGGTTAAGAGCACTAAGTGCTCTTCCAAAGGTCCTGAGTTCAATTCCTACACAACCATCTGTAATGGAATCTAATCCTCTCTTCTAGTGTGTCTGAAGACAGGAACAGTGTATCATATACATAAAAATAAATACGTCTTTTTAAAAAATTTAGTAAACATTGATTTCAACTCGCAGTTCAAGGGGATACAGTCCAAGGCATGGTGGCAGTCAGCCCCTGACTATGGTGGCAGAAGCTTGAGAGAACACAAGTAGTGCTATGAAGTCAGGTTGGCTTTTGCCACTCTTAGCTTGAGGCCTCTCCTGTGCCATCTCTGAAGTGGTGAGCCCAGCAAATCTCCATTGACGTGTGATGGCTCGAATCCCACTCCCTCCAGGAAGACCTCTCTGCCACTCCAACATGAAGCAAGCGCTCTCAGCTGAGAGTCTGGGCAGGACTCACAATCCTCATGGGTTGTCTTTTGCCTCAGGAACCCCTGAGCAACTCTCGCTGGAGGCTAGGTCCTATTCCTTGGCCTCTGTCTCTTTGGGTGTGGTCAGTCAGCTTGGTGGACTTAATTTTTGTCATTGATGTTTAGAGTTACCATCTCTCCTCGGTTCCCTTCTTGGAGTCCCTGCCACATGCTCATGGCACTTGATCTGCAGTGTACTGTACTTGGCAAGTGCCCTCTTAATGCTTGGAGAGTGACTGGCTGCAGGAGGAGGCCCTCCCACCTCTCCCTGGATTTCAGAATTTCTGATCTGCCTGCAGACACCCTCACCACCACCAGGGGGCCTCTCTAAAATAAAGGCCTGGCCCTGACTTCATTCAGTCTGGGCCAGAGCTTCCTCCTCTCCTCTGACCCACCATCCCTTGTTCTCCAGGGACCCTGAGCCACACTCCATCCCCTCCTGTCACCCAGCTCTGGAAGAGCCTCTCCAGACGTGTCAAAGAGCATCTTTGATCAGAAGCCTTCTCAAATGCTCTTGTCCTGCTCTGGAGTTCCTCAGCTGTCTGCAGCACCGGGACTGAGTCACTGTCCACTACTGTCCCCACCCAGGGACTGCTGTCCCCGCCCAGGGACTGCTGAGAGCCTCTTAACTTTTTGCTGTTGGATGCTCTCCATGCAGTTCTTCCTCGGAAAGAGTCTGCTAGCTATATCCCAATACCCCTTCCTCTCCCCGTCAGCAGATCTTGCCTTCCTAGAAAAGGCCTGTTGGCAGTGAGTGCCTTCCTCCCATCCCAGGCCTTTGCCTTCTATTTGGCTAACAGAACACAAGAGTCAAGGTTTCTAAAAAGGATTATGATGTCCTTTCCCATTCCCTCCTCTTCTCTGCTAGCTGGAATGCAGATATGATGGCTATAGCTCAAGCAGCTATCTTGTGATGTGAGGCCAAGTTGAAAAAACAAAAAACAAAAAACAACCAAAAACCAAAAAACCAAAACACATAAAAGCCCACCACCCCAGGCTTCTAGCCTTGCCAGCTCCAGGCTGGTAACACTGTCAGCCTGAGAGTCCTCACTACACAAACTAGTTGTGATCTTTTGCTGTTGTATGGAGATGAATCTGCCACAAAGCCCAAGCTGGCCTAGAACTTGGGGTCTTCTACTTCAGCCCCTTGAGCTGCTGGCACCAGCGACATGTGCGAACACAGCCTAGCAACCTCATCATGCCCTCTCTTGTGCTGGCTACTTTGAGGCTGGCTCTCTGTTGCCCTGGCTGACGGCTGAACTTCACCAATCCTTCCACCCAGGCTTCTAAGTGCTAGGACTAGAGGTGAGTGCCACCGTGCCAGCTCCCCTTGCTGCTGCGGCTGAAGTCCAAACAGCTGCAACTCCGGCCAGCTGGAGAGACAGGGAAGAAGTTCAATATTAGAGAAACACAGTGTGTGGAGGCTGTGTCGGGGGGGGGGGGTGTCTCCTGTGTATGGGTGAATGTGCAGAAGGGGTCTCCTATGTGTGTATGGAGGGTACCCTGTGTCTTCTTGTGCAGACTGGAAATGACTTCTCGTCACCGGAGGCAGACATCTGCACTGAGGAGACAGGGACACGATGTGAGGCCACTGTGGTGTAGAGCATCCTATACTAGCCACACTCCAGCCTCAGGGTAGCCCTGGGGATTCATACAGAGAAACACTCAGTAGGACAGCACTGCTTGAGGCTCACATGGAGACCAAATCCCTCCGTTCCTGGCTTACTGTCTTGATAAGTGATCTAGTGTGAGGGCCAGGGCCCCTTCACTGGGCTGAGTACCAGAACCTCCTAGAGGCAGGCCCATCTGAGACAGCCAGACATGTAGTCACCACTTTTGGAGCAGAGGGCAGGGAATGGGGAGAAGGGCTGAGGCCAGGCCAGGCCAGCTCCCAGTAAAGGCCCCAAGTTGAGCTTTCCATCCCTGAATGTGGCCTTATGATGCTAGCCCTTAGTCTTCAGACATCTCCTGATAGCCCATCAGCCCAAGACGCCCTATGTAGCTGAAGACGGATGACCCAGAATTTAGTCTCTTGCCTCAACTTCTTTGGTGCGGTTTTACCATATACCACCAAAACTGGCCACAGCTCTGGACATTTTGGTCTTCAGCTACAATGAGGGGACCCAGATATGATATGACCTTGTAATACCCTCAGGAAAACCTGGAAGTAAATGGACCCCTTACTATTCCCACCACCCCAGAAGTCAACCTTTGGGCATGGCATCAAAGCCAGGACAAATGACAAGCACAGACAGAAGGAGTTTCAAAGACCTGGTCAGTCCCAGGTGGATGTACATTTGTGAACAAGCCCAACACTGTTCTGCAGGCTCCGGGAACCTGGGCTCCCAGGAGTCCATTCCTTCTGGGCTCAAACCCCAGGTGAATCAAAGCAAGGATGACCCCAGGCTGGAAAAGTCCTGACTTGCAGGCTTAGGCTGGAGGTAACCGTTGGTATAGCTGGATTATAGGGACAGCCGAGGACTCAGGCTGGGGACCCACAAGCTTGAGGGCTCACTCCCCGTTGTGCCTGGCTTTTCCAGTCATCCGGCGGCGGCGCTGGGTCTTGCTGGTACGAGTGGCACTGGGAGGTTTCTTGGTGGAGTCCTGTGTCCGCCGAGGGTGTTTCCTCTTGACCTTCTTCCGACTGTGTGCATGCAGTGTAGCTGTGAGGGAGGAGATGCTGCGGGGATGGTAGAGGCTGGTGAGGCCAGGGCCTCGGCTTACCCTCGAGACTCAGGCAATGGTGGGGTAGGAGGCTGGGGAGTGATCTTTAGTCATGGATCAGTGTGATCATTTGACTTGTGGATGGGAAGCTGCAACAAACTCCAAACACATTTCAAACTCGGCCTGGTCTGGCTCCACAAAGCCTGACAGAATCCCCTCCTGCCCTCCACCCCTCAGGCTAGGGCTGTTCCACACACCCAGCCACTAGTGCCAGAGAGAAGTGAGACCCAAGAACTACAAGACCAATCTCACCGCTGAGAGAGCAGGGGATCTTTGGACTTCTTGGGCAAGGCTTTTGTTGGCTTTTCCATGGATGACATCTCCTCCTCCTGGGACTCATCCTGGTCCCCTTGCTAGAGAAACAAAGGACAGAGACCATTACAGGGCATGGACAGGCACCCTGAGCAGCTCTGGCTTTCACACAGAAGTCTGACCAGCTACCTTACAGGCCTGAATAGGCTCAGAGAAGGCCCCGGGCAGAAGTGCATCATCTGTGCCTGGCCTGCCTTAATTGTCAACTTGACACATCCCAGAACCATCTGACAGAAGTCTCAACTGAGAAACTGCCTAGGTCAGGTTGGTCTATGGGCAAGACCTCGCCCGAACTGGGTGGCACCATTCCTTGGGCAGGTGGTCCTGGGTGTATATAAAAAAGCTGGCTAAGCATGAGTGAGCAAGTCAGAGTGAGTAAAGCAGGACTCCTCTGTAGTTTCCGCCTCACTCAGATATCTGTGCTGAGTTTCTGTCCTGCCTCTCTTCTATGATGAACTGGGACCCGGAAGTGTAAGATGAATTAAACCCTTTCCTCCCTAAATTGTTTTTGGTTATAGTATTTGTCATCCTGGCAGACAAGAACCTAGGACACTGAGAACCAGAATGACAAAGGACAGCCTGTTTCCAAACATTCGCCAACAGCAACATCAGCAAAATGGCAGCAAGACACACTGTGCCAGGCCCTACAGGAAGACAAGCATAAAGCTGAGGTGTGACAGTCGGTCAGTCAGTCTGGCGTGCCTCCTCAGAACACAGACACTACAACACAGGGCAGGAATTTTTTCAAGACACGAGCTCAGTATGTAGCCCAGGTTGATCTGAACCAATCATCCCCCTGCCTTCACCTCCCTTGTGTGCTTCCAGGCCTGGACCTTGGAAATGTGAGGGATTTTGCTTTGTTGTTTTTGTGATGTTGGAGATTGGACCTCAGGTCTCACATGCTGGACAGGCTGCAACCTCAACCCAAAAATGTACTTTGTACTGTAACTCCCTGGGCAGCTGAAGTCTACCAGCTGCAGGATGAAAAGCAATGTAACACCTGGAAGGAAACAATCTCTATGCTGAGAACAGACCTCTTGACTTTTTAAATCTATTCTGTGTGCATGACTATCCTGCTTGCATGTCTGTGTACTACATGCATGCCTGGGGCTGGCAGAGGCCAGAAGAGGTGTCAGATGCTCTGAAACTGGAGTTATAGATGTTTGTGAGCCTCCATGGCAATTGATCCTGGCTCTTCTGCAAGAGCAGAAAGCATTCTTTTTTTTTTTAAATAAATCTTTTTTATTATTTATTTTATGAGTACACCATTGCTTTCTTCAGACACACCAGAAGAGTGCATCAGATTCCATTACAGATGGTTGTGAGCCACCATGTGGTTGCTGGGAATTGAACTCAGGGCCTCTGGAAGAGCAGTCAGTGCTCTTAAACACTGAGCCATCTCTCCAGCCCATCAGAAAGCATTCTTAACCTCTGAGCCATCTCTCCAGGACCCAGACTTATGCTATTCTTTGAATACTGCAGTGTAAAAATTTAAGCAATACAGGAGATTCAGATTTTGTTTTGTATTAGTGTGTTTGTGACACGCATACCAAAGCGTGGGTGCAGGAGGTCAGAGAATAACCTTCCACCTCATGGTCTTCCACAGTGCTTTACCCCTAGGTTAGCTTGCTGGCCTGGCATTCAGCTTGCTTGCTTTTTCTTTCTTTCCTCCTCTCCTCTCCTCTCCTCTCCTCTCCTCTCCTCTCCTCTCCTCTCCTCTCCTCTCCTCTCCTCTCTTCTCTCTTTCTCTCTCTCTCTCTTTCTTTCTTTCTGTTTTTGTTTTTTGAAACAGGGTTTCTCTCTAGGCAGTGGTGGCGCACGCCTTTAATCCCAGCACTTGGGAGGCAGAAGCAGGCGGATTTCTGAGTTTGAGGCCAGCCTGATCTACAGCGTGAGTTCCAGGACAGTCAGGGCTACACAGAGAAACCATGTTTTGAAAAACAAACAAACAAACAAAGGAAGGAAGGAAGAAAGGAAGAAAGAAAGAGAGATAGACAGAAGCAGAGAGAGACAGAGAGAAAGAAAGGAAGAAAGAAAGGAAGAAAGGAAGGAAGGAAGGAAGAAAGGAAGGAAGGAAGAAAGGAAGGAAGGAAGAGAGGGAGGGAGGAAGGAAGGGAGGGAGGGAGGAAGGAAGGAAGGAAGGAAGGAAGGAAGGAAAGAAGGAAGGAAGAAAGAAAGAGGGTTTCTCTGTGTAGCCTTGGCTGTCCTGGAACTCACTCTGTAGCTAGGCAGGCCTTGAATTCACAGAGCCTGCTTCTGTCTCCCAGAGTGCTGGGATTAAAGGTGGGCAAGGCCACTTCCTGACTTAGCAAGCAGTTTCTAAGTAACTCAGAGATGATTTAAAGGACAAGGGAGGAAATCCGTAAGTTCTATGTAAACAGTATAGCATTCTACTCAAAAGACTTGAGCCTTTGCAGACCTGAAGGGACCCTGACATAGAAATTCCTCCACAGGCCACAGGTACAGTGTTAAGTGGCACAGACGTTTTGTTATTGAGGGCATACAATCCACGCTACAAACTCACTGGCCCTGCACACACACGCCATAGGGTACTGCTTGTCACACAAGGGTCACAGTCTCTTACTGAGCACTTACTATAGGGGGGCTCAGTACCGATGCCGACAGCCTCATCCCTGCATCGTCACGGTTACCCGCCTCTATACTCAGTCAAGGCTACCATGGCAACCCTCATCCGACGGATGAGCTGAGCCATGTAAGAAAGCTGCCTGGAGTACACGTCCAGTACGGGACCCTTGATATGGACCAGCACTAAGCAGCCCTCACAAATCCACTTACCCCTAAACCCCTTCTTCCCCAGGGCTGTCCTGGGACCTACCTCAGGCAGGGGCAGACCGAGCAGCCGGGCCCCTGAGAGGTCCAGGTCACTGATGGTGGTCACGGTGACTGTGTGATTGGGGTGGTCATACTGCACCGACTCTGTCTTTGCTGTCACCAGCCGCTCCAGCTCATCTGCCTCCTCTGCAAGGCGGGCACAGAGCAGTCCTCAGGCCTGGCTCAGTCCAGGCTCCATCTCCCCTCCTAGCCCTGGCGTGAGGGGGACTGGCTCAAGGTGAGCTTTTCTAGAGCCAGTCATGCTTTCTTTGCGTTGTTTCCCCTGCCTCTCCCTTTCTTTCCGCATCTACAGAGTGGTCCAGAGTCACGCCCACAGGTAACTGCTGGAAAGGAACCTGTCTTCCCTTTGTGCTCCAGCTCGTCCCTGCTTTGGAGAAACGGTGAGGGAGCAAGAGTTGGTCCATCCCTGGCTCTTACTCAGTCTCGGTTTACCATTTGGTCTGGGTCTCCTATTCTCTGATCCGCTCGTACTTAGACCACCCTTGACCCCACAGCACCACCGAGACCTCTACAGCTAAGGAAATCGCCCTCCCCACAGCTCTCTCCCCCTTCCCCCTATTCCCACCAGGGGACACAGAAGCCCAGGCTCACTGGATGCTCTCCACATAAGGCCAAGGAAAAGACTTACCCAGTGCCTCCTCTCTTTCTGCCAGCATCTTCAGGTACTCCTGGTGGCGCTGAAGCCAAAGAGATGTGAAGGTGTTAACTGTTAATCTGACAAAATCTAAGATAGCCTGGGACATGGGGCTCTGAGCATATTATAGGATATTATCTTGGTTTTGTTCACTGAGGTGGGAAGGCCTGCTCACTACCGGTGGCGCCATTCCCTGGCTGGGATCCTGGAAAAGGGACAAAAGGGAGCCAGCCGCTCACTACGGGTGGCACCATTCCCCAGAGGACGTGAGTGAGGAAAGGGAGCTATGAGGCAGGCAGCACACGCTCATCACTCTGCTTCCTGACTGTGGGTGGGACCAGCTGCTTGCTTCACGCTCCTGCCACCCTGACTCTCCTGCCAGCATGGACTGGGTGCTTGAATTGAGAGCCAGAATAAACCTTTTGTCCCTTAAGCTGTCTTTTTTCAAGTGTATTTTATCACAGTCACAGAAAAAGCCACTAAGACAGAAATAAACCCAGCGAGAATGGCCTTTCAGTCCATACCATGCAACAGCCCTGTGTACTTCCACTGTGTGAGCCCATGCTTCATGAGCAAATGCAAGAGGAGGCTTATCCTTCACACACAGACCCCGCTCCCGCCACACTCGCCACATTCACACCGCCACCCCAGAGCTGCCTCAGACTTATCCAAGGCTGGCCCTCCTGGGGAGTTGGGTCCCTCCCTGCCCCTCCTCCACCCCCAACCGCACCTCTTCTCGAAGCTTCTTCTGCTCTTGCTTAAGCCGCTGCTTTATCTCTTCAATGGCTGCCTTCTTGCGCTCTACCTTCCGCTTGTGGAAGCCTGTCAGGTACTCCCTGCAGGAAGAAAGCAGGGGAGAAGCTGGGGGAGTCAGGAGGAGCCACAAGGAACACAGGGCTCTAGAGAGTTCCAGTTGTCAGGCTCTATCCTACCCACCAACCCATTTTACTCTCTCAACAGCCAGTCCTTATTTTACAGATAGGGACTCTGAGGAAGGGACTAGGGTACTTACCCATGCTCACAGACAATGTAGTTGGTAGTCCTTGCTGGACCATCAGAGTGTACTTAAATAACCCTCTGCGATATTAGCCTACCACACACCTAGGCTATAAGCTACAGTCTCAGTACACACTCCATTACTAACCAAACGTGACAAGGACTTTCACCTACCTCCCCTGGCCTACTTGCCCCTTGCTAAGTTCACACGAGGCCAGGCGGTCAACGCACAGAGCAGGTGGTCACTGTTTCCACACTGCCCAACTTTATTTCATAGGAGTCATTTCTAGAAAGGTTTTCTAATAACGCCTCCACCTAGACCCCAAAACTCTTTCATTGAACCAACCAACACCCGATGCTCAACGACACCTAACTCCTGTGTAGCAGGACCTAGGAGTGCCCCCACCTTCCCGACTCTTGCTTCCTCTTCCTGTCTCATCTCTGCTCTGTTCTTGAGTTTGTTGTTGTACTGGAGGGTTAATTAAGCTTAGTACCTTGTTCGAGTTAGGCAAATGGTCTAGTAGATTAATTAGTTTATATCGACTTGGAGGCAGGGACTCGATAAATTGTCCAAATGCCCATACTGTTTTTGAACTTTCCCAGACAGTGTTTGACTTTGCAATCCTCCTGCCTCAGCATCCCGGGTGGCTAGGATTACAGGTCTGCACCACCAGGCCTGGCAATTGCAGTGTCCTTTGGTACACTGCACCAGGGTTTTTGAGAACAGGGGTTCTCAAGCTTTCTAATACAATGACCCTTTAATACTGTTCCTCATGTTGTGGTGATCCCTAGCCATAAAATCCTTTTTGTTGCTACTTCATAACTGCAATTTTGCTGTTATGAATTGCAACGTACATATCTGTTTTATCGAGGAGCTTAAAGAAGTTGCGACCCACAGGTTGAGAACCACCAAACTACAAGGTGCCATTTATCTACGGTGACACTGAAACGCAGAGTTCATCCTCTGGTCTCAAGCTTGTTTGGCACACAGTCTGATCAGTGAATGAATGAACATAAATCTCGCTCATCCCATTCGCTCGTCCTTCGTCGACAATGACCGGGAGCCGGCTATGTGCCGTGACAATGAACGGCGTTGGACTCAGGTGGTCCAAGGCACAACTCTGAGAGCCGTACACTGCGACGGAGGAGCGGGCGACTCCATCCCACGAGGCGGGGAAAGAGGAACGCGATCTTCAGTCACATCCAGGGGCGGGGCCGGAAAAGCCCTCTGCGTAGGCGTGCGCGCCCTGTGCCTGGCGTGCTTCCCCCGGCAGCCTGACCGATGATCTCTTTCGACCCTGCCACTCACCGCCGCTTCTCTTCATCAAAGTTGAGGATGAGCCGGGGCCGCCGGTCATCTCCATCTCTTTTCTTCTTCTTGTTGCGGCCCATTACAGGGAAGCTTCCGGCAGCGTGGCTGATTCTGACTTAAAACACTTCCGGGTGTGGCAGTTTCAGATTTCCGGTAGGGCGCACTTCATGGGCTTGTTCCACAGTTCCGCTGATGTGGCTCCACCTTTTAAAGAAGCCTCCCATCCTGTTTCAGCTTTGGTTCAGGTTTTCTCTCAGTGACAACTAGGCTCCTCGATTCCATCATCTGCCCTGCCTCAAACAGGGGCTCAGTCTGGAGTGGCCAAGAATTACTGATCTTAATTGAATTCTGATGTCAACTCTTTCGTGATTTCCATGAACGAGGGAAACTGCCTAGATTCAACCCTGGTATTCCTTTACAAAGTATGCTACTCAGAAGCAATCGTCTTTTTTATTTTTATTTTTTAAGATTAAATCATAAATTAACGGCTAGGGAAGTGGCATATGTCTTTAATCCTAGCTCTTGAGAGGCAGAGGCAGGTGGATCGAGATCAGCCTAGTTTACATAGTGAGCTCCAGGACAAGCAGAGCAGAGCTACATAATAAAGAGAGCCTGACTATAAATAAGATTTAAAAAAATACTGTGCCTGAGTGGGGTTATGTGCACCGCACGAGCGAAGTGGCTACAAGCCCAGAGGAGGGTATCAGATCCCCTGTAACTAGAATTACAGGTGGTTTGTAAGTCCTGTGGGTGCTGGGAACTGAACCCTGGTCCTCTGCAAGAGAAGTAAGTGCTAGTAACCATCGAGTCATGTCTCCCAGCCCCTCAATTGCCTTTTTTCCTTGTGTCTCACTTTCCTATTTATAAAATACAGATCACTGTACCGACTTTTAAGGTTATTGTAAAGAGGTGGCTCTAGAACTCTGGCATGCACTTGAAGGCTTGCTGAAATCCAAATCCAGGGTTCGGGGTTCAGCACACTTGACAGGGTCCCAGAATGTCCATTTCTAGCACATTCTCTGGTGGCCCTGAATATTGCTCCTGCATGCAACAAACCGAGAGCCGTGACGTAGTGGGCCAAGTGTGTTGTGTCAGGAGTGCATAACACAATATTCTTCCATACTCAGGTTTGGTGCACAAGCCATATCCAGCTACGTGCCTCCATTTCCACAAGTATGGAAAGGAAGTTTAATGACACACCTTCTACTAGCCACAAAAGCTTGAATGTGAAGCCCTGGGTAGAATAACACTGGGCAAGGACTTTAGTGACCTCGTTGCATAACCGATTTCCCCCGTTCTCAAGGCTATGTGCATTTGGTCACGCTGTCCTGTGCTGGGTGCTGCAGCAGGACCAATGCCTTTGACTCTGAGTCAGTTATCATGATAGTCGTAGGGATGAGGACTCTTCAGCAAGAAGCTCAGGAGGTTGCAGGTCAGGATGTCTCAGACTCTTAGGATCCGGTCCTTTTCCAGATATAAGCCTCAAGAACCTGGAAGCTACAGATACTGAATGCCTACTGTGTACTCAGAGAGGCAAGCTGTCACTTAAGACTGTGCTTACCAGGCACGATGGCACATAACCTTTAACCCCAGCACTCTCAAAGCAGAGGCAAGGGAATCTCTTGAGTATGAGGCTGGCCTGGTCTATAGCTTGCATTCCAGGACAGCCAGGACGCCACAGAGAAACCCTGTCTCAAAAAAACCAAAACCAAACAAGAGAGGGGGTGGAGTCAGGGGAGGATTGTGCCAGTGCTAAAATGTGAACTGGATTGTCCCATCTTTGGTGTTTGGTCTCTCTTCCCTGCTCCCTGGCCACTCCCTCAGAAGCTAACGTGTCTGCTTAGAGAGGCAGGAAGCAGGCTGTGGTGATGAGCTTGGGAAAGAGCCTCGCTTCCATGTAGGCAAGGCACCCCATGAATGGCAGATTCCTCCCACATGGGTCCCCAACTTGGAGATTCTATGCTGGATGCTGGGAAGAAGTTATCTTTAAAGTGTGGGTCCCCAAGCTGGGCTTGGTGACAAAGCCAAGTTATCCTAACAAGTAGAAATAGGAAGATCAGGAGTTTGAAGTCATCCTGATACGTAGAAATTGGAGTCCAGCCTGGGCTAGAGACCCTATGTAAAGAAAAGGGGTACTAGACACACGTGTCTCAGAGTGGTCACTTCTGTTCCCCTGGAGCTACGTCCTCTTACATCCCTTGTCATCTCTCCTCTGGGTAGCATTGTCCTGGCCACACTGTGCCCCCTGAAGAAGCCTAGAGAGCTAAGAGCTGCCTTCTGCTACTGGGCTATCTATCACACGATATCTCCTCCTCCCTGTGGCTATGGACTAAACAGAAGTTCTGTGGTCTGACTTGGTAAGTCAGAACCAGCACTTCTGTCTTCAGCCCTTTCTCAGACTCTGCCCCTCTCAGTGACCATGTGCTGGATGCCTTCTGGGCTGAGGCTGTGGCCTGTGCATTTCCCACCCCCCATTTTTTCTTTTCCTTTTTTTTTTCTTTCAAGATTTATTTATGTACAGTGTAGCTGTCTTCACACACACCAGAAGAGGGCATCGGATCCTATTACAGATGGTTGTGAGCCACCATGTGGTTGCTGGGAATTGAACTCAGGACCTCTGGAAGAGCAGTCAGTGCTCTAAACTGCTGAGCCACTTCTCCTGTCCCGATTTTGTTTTTTGTTTTGCAACAGAGTCTCCCTATATATCCCTGGCTATCTTGGAACTCACTATGTAGACCAGGCTGGCCTCAAACTCACAGAGTCCTGCCTACTGAGTGCCTTTTAAAAAAAGGCACTACTAGCCGGGCAGTGGTGGCACACGCCTTTAATTCCAGCACTTGGGAGGCAGAGACAGGAAGACTTCTGAGTTTGAGGCCAGCCTGGTCTACAGAGTGAGCTCCAGGACAGCCAGGACTACACAGAGAAACCCTGTCTCAAACAACCAAAAAAAAAAAAAAAAAAAAGGCACCACCAAGCTGGAAATCTGTGCAATTCTTTATTATTGTTGTTATTATTTGTAATTTATTTTATGTGTATAGGTATTTTGCCTGAGGAGGTCGGAAGAAGCATTTGATCATCTGAAACTGGAGTTACAGACAGTTGTAGATGGCTGTGAGCTGCCGTGTGGGTTCTGGGAATTGAACTCAGGTCCTCTGGAAGAGCAGTAAGTGTTCTTTACTGCTGAGGCTGTCTCCCAGCCCCACTCTTGTGGTGAGCCTTACAAACTCTCTGTGAGTGCTTAGCTCCTTCAGGGAGAATCCTAGGGTGAATTGTGAACACAGGAACACATTCTGAGGGACATTTTCTTTGAGGTCCAGCAGAGGGCGTCTCCTCCACAGCCACACTTGGGAACCTCAGAAAAGCGTGGTGATGGGGTGTTACATGGGAGCCCGAGGCTTGTGTATGCCATTCTCTTTGGCCTTCTCCTATGGGTACCCCAGCTTCCTGGGTCCCAGGGGACCCAACAACATGAAAGTCTTCATCCTGTCATAGATGGGGAAACTGAGACTGAGGGTGCAGGAGACCCTACCAGGAGGGTGCCAGTTGTCCTAGGAAATGAGATCTGCTCTCACAGACACCGCCTCCCACCTCAGGATATTATGTCCCAGATCTGAGAGAGGGAGAGAGCCTAATGAGGTTTACAGTCGAAGGCTTCCAGAGCCTTGGCTCAGTTCCTGCAGCTGTTTCCTGGAAAGTGCAGACACTGGTGCGGATGAACAACGGTGGCCCATGGGTCTGCTGCCGTTAATTGTGCTGGGTGGGACAGGGCTTGGCTAAGAACCACATCCCAAGGCAGCAGAACCTGAGCTGAGGTCCGGAAGACACCTGCTTCCGGAAGCCAGGAGTAAGCATGCGGCTGTGGGCACGGCTGTCTCTGCCAGCCCAGTGAGCCACCTGCCATCTGGAAGACCTGCTTCTGGGCCTTCCCATGAGCCTTCCCATCCCACTCCTCACCCCACGTCGCCGAAGGGGCCCACTCAGAACCCCCAACCGTTACATTACAGGGCAGCGACCTCATCCCAGACTCCCACTGTTAGGGAGGAGACCTGTCCAGTGCCACCGAGTTGGCAGCTTCTAGCCTAGTTCCCTGGCTGCCCTTTGACTCCAGGAGAGTGGCTGTGTAGCCAAGGATCACAAAGCTGGGAAGCCCACTTCGCATGTGCTCAGCTGCTGGGGAGTCATTTTCTCCCTCAGAGGCCGTTTCCTCTCCTTCCCATCTGCAGGCATAAAAAGGCAGTGGCATAAGGGAGATCAGAAGCTACCCGCATGGCATTGGCCATGATATACCCAGAGCAGAACCTGGCCTCCTCCACCAAAACCTCATCCAACTCCACAACAACCCTCATGAGAACTGAGTATTATCCCTCATGCACAAAACGATAAGCGGAGGCTCAGAGAGACCAGCTAACAAGCACAAGGCCACACAACACCTTGTAGTCCCTTACCTAGTTCAAGATTCCTGTCCTATATGAGGTCATGCTATGTTGCCCCAGCCAACCCTAAGTGGTCCTCTTGCCTCTATCTCCCAAGTAGTTAGTGGTATAGGACTACACAGCTAGTCCAAGCTGCCTCCACTATGTAGCCCAGGCTATCCAGACTGGTCTAGACCACAGGCTGATGTGCTTGTCCTAACCTCCTAAATTTCAAGTATGTGTCACCATGCCCAGTGGTTTCTGACCCCTACTAAGACAAATGAAGGTCTTGCTGTTCGTCCGTCCATCTCCCACCATTCTGCCCCTGTCACAGTGGGACACTGGTTCACACTCTGTGGTCACTAAGCCCTCTATGTGCTGGGCTCTCCCCTTGGCCTGGAGAGCACAAGAAGCGAGGTCACTGGGACCAAGAATACGTGGAGGAGTGAATGGAAGTTCAGATGGACCAGGTTGGGCAGGGCCCCTCACCTAGACATAAACACTCTCACATGAAAGGCTGGGTTACAGGGAGCAGAGGCAGCTGCCTTTATTGAGGGCTACGGGCTGGCTGTCTTCACTCAAAGGACACACACTTAATCTTGAAGTCGCCATCTGCGGCCATGTAGCTGATGGCCTCCATGTTGAGACGGTTGGGGAACTTGAACTCATGTCCGTCTGGTAGTTTGATGGTCAAATCAGCCTGGTCA